TTTGGGGGGTGGCGGTCCAGAGTGGGGACCTAGCAAGCCCGACGGTTGGGTTGGGCCCCTGGAGTTCGGGGTAAGGTGGCCGGCCTTTACCCTCCCCCCCCTACCCGATGCGGGCACGGCACCACCTTCGCTCCGAACGGCGCGGTGCAGACGTGCACTCCAGGCCACATGGGGCGGTCCAGGCGCAGCCCCGCTCCCATCCCGTACCCAGGGTCCCAGCGGGGCTCTGGGTCGCGAGGGCTGGTGAGGGGCGCTCCCCGGTGTTTGCTGCTCTGCTCTCCGCGCTGACCCTGGAGGTGCCTCAGAGCAGAAGGGGGACTGCCTCCCGGAGGCTTGCGGGGGGCGTAGGGGGGGGGGGGGGGGGGTGACCCTCCCCTCGAGGAGCGTGCAGATCAGGGGGTAGCCAGCAGGTGGAGCCGCAGGCGCAGGGCCGGGCGCTGATCAGCTGAAGGGCAGGGAGCTGTGGGGGGTCTGCAGTCACCTGTCACCTGCCAGCGTGGATCGCCCACCGCCTCCGACACCTCCCGACGACCACCTCCTCGCCCGTGCACTCACCGCGGGCAGGTCTCCCGGGGCCCGAGCTCCCTTGGCGCCTTGGTCCCTGTGGAATGGAGTGCTGCTCGTGTGTGGAGGGTGTCTGGGTCACACACCAGCCACCTCCAGGGTCTGGGCTGCCCCGCTGGCTGGGAGCTGACCGGGCAGGCAGCCAGGTCTGTCGGGTCCACCCCCGGCCCCACTGGTCTGCCCGGTGCAGCAGTGACACATGAAGACTCGCCCTGAGCTCAGGGAGGGGGCGGAAAGCGGAAGGCGCGGGAGCCACAGCCGCTCAGCGCCAGCTCCTCGGGAGGAGGCCTCCGGGCCTGTGACCGCGCCTGGGCTCGGTGAGGCCAGCGGCTCTGACTGCTCCACCCTGAAGGCAGAGGGTCTGCTGGCCGTCAGAGGGTGCACTGGTCCCTGGACTGGAGGGTCACGAGGGAAGTGGGAAAGGGACAATGCCCCTTTCGGGGCGGCCCTGGGGGGCTGCTTTCTGCCCACAGGAGAGCCTGTGGCTGTGGCGGCTCTGTTGCCCTCCGGGGCCCAGTGGACCCTCCTCCTCCTCCTCCTCCCCTCTCTTGGCTCCTTCTTCCTACCCTGGCCTGGGGGCTGCTGGCTGCTGGGAGGATGGGGGGCGGGACCTGCCAGCCCTCCCCAGAGTTCCCTGCCAGACGCCAAGGAGGCCTGGAGCGAGGCACCCCGTTGCCCCACAGCACCCCACGGCTGCACCCGACCACCTGAGAGGAGGCTGCCGTCTATGACAAGCACAAGGTGAGGGTTTGGGCTTGAACTTTTGCTCCTCCGGGGCCCCAGGACTGACCTGGCCTCACCACCTGCCCCTGTCTGCCTGCCCAGGGCTTGTCATCCCAGAGGCGGGTGAGTGGTCGCTCTGGAGGAGGTGAGCCTGTGAGTGCCAGTGGCTCTACCCTCTTGGGGGAGATAGTGGATAGCAGACGGATGAGGGAGCACACTGCCTCGGACAGGGGGCTGCACACCGGGTGGGCTTGGGAAAGGGCTGCCTCTGCCCAGCTCCTGGCCGCAGCCACAGTCCTGTGGGTCCCACATGGCACATTCCCTCCCGGTCCTGACCCTCTCCTGCACCCCGGCCCACCTCACAGGTTCAGGGACAGAAAGACCCGCTGATAAGAGCTGGACTCCCCTTGTTTACTTAGCCGCTTGGCATCCCCGGGTCTTCCCAGTTGAGACCTCCTGTGTCTGTCCCGTAGGAGGGTGTGGGGCTTGTGGCAGCTGCTGGGCAGAGAGCCCTACCCATGGCACAGCCGCTGGCTGCCCCATTCCCTCTGCATCCCCGAGGGAGGCGGTTCCTCTCATAGACGGCACTACTTCCGACGGGCTGAGGGGTGGCAAGCAGCCTCACTTGACCCTGTGGCCAAGCCTGAGAGGCCCAGTCCTCTCGCGCCCAGTTCCTCTTGATGTTTGGCCAAAGGCAGCTGGGTTTCTGCCCTCCCAAGAGTGCCCCCCTGGGGCCCCGCCTTGCCTTGTAGGACCCATCCCTCTGTTCAAGGTCTCCGTGGAGGAGCTAACTGAGTGGCCGGCGGTGCAGAGGAGTCCCAGGAGGCGACCAGAGGGACCGACCCCGCCTAGTCGCCAGGCTCAGTGTCCCTGTGTCCCCCCAGGCCCGCCACGGACATGGCACCATGGACATGGTCTGGGCAGTGGAGGAGCCGCTTGTGGGCAGTGGATGAACCGTTCTTGTGTGTCTGGCTGGGAAGCTTCTGGGTGTGTGTGTGGGGGGGGGGGGACTTTGTGGAGACCTGGGCCTTCTTGCTGCCTCTGAGGGCCGTCCTCCGCCTGCGGAGGCCCCGTTGAGGCAGGTTCACCACATTTGGGGGCAGATGAGTGAAGTCCAAGCCAGGCCATGTGGGTGCTGCTTTGCTTGGAGGAACGGAGCTCTCCTGCATGTTCTGTGGCCCCTCCCCCCACCCAGAGGCCCGCGCATGGCGGGGAGGGTGGTCCCCAGGCGAGCGGTGGAGCGGTTGCTTGGTGTTTTCTCTCCTCTCAGAGAGGACCCTGAGGACCTGAGGGAGTCCTGGAGCGGGCAGGTGGTGCTTGGCTCTCCGCTCGCTTCCTGCTGGTCTGGCTGGCATGCCCTTCGGTGTGGTGGGCACCCCCACCAGCTCGGAGGTGGGGGCCCTGAGGGCTCTGTGGGTGGCAGTCTCGCAGGGAGGGCCTCTCCCAGGAGCTGTCGGCACAGCCCCAGGGCCAGCAATCCCCTCCTCAGCTGACCCACACTTGACTTGGGGCCAGTCACCCTGAGGCCTTTCCTGCTCTGAGATTTGGGGGTGCCTTGGCCCTCTTCCCTGGCCCTTACCTGGAAGTCCAGCATTAAGACCCATTCAGGTCCCTGGGAGCACAGGGGGGTTCCCCTGACGACTGGCTGAGGGCTGCTGGCTCCCCTGAAGGGTGATGTGGAAGCAGCGACACCTGGGTTGTGTTCCCGGTGGTGGGGCCAGCGGGGCATGCAGCTGGCCAGTAGGCATGGCTGGTCACTCTGGAGATCCCACAGCTCATGAGGTCATCGAGGGTCAGGGCCTGCCTGGGCAGAGCCCGGGGCGTGTCCCTGAGATCTCTGTTCATAGCTGGGGCCACTGTCCCAGTCCCACACTCCTCCCAGTGCCCTCATGCCTCCCATACATCAGTGATCTCTCATGTACTGTCCCGACTCCATGAGCAGTTTTTTTTTTTTTTTTAAATATATTTTATTGATTTTTCACAGAGAGGAAGGGAGAGAGATAGAGAGTTAGAAACATCGATGAGAGAGAAACATCGATCAGCTGCCTCCTGCACATCTCCCACTGGGGATGTGCCCGCAACCCAGTTACATGCCCTTGACCGGAATCGAACCTGGGACCCTTCAGTCCGCAGGCCAACGCTCTATCCACTGAGCCAAACCGGTTTCGGCAAGCAGTTTTTAATATTTAAAAATTTTTACCAAAAGCTGACAATTTCCAGCCTGCCCCTGCCCCTGCCACTCCCAGCTCTGGTGGCCCAGCATGGCCCAGCCCAGTTGTCCAAGTTACAGCCCCTGATTGGTGGTGGTCTGGATGGGCCAGCCCCCCATGCTCATGTCCATAGCACTGTCCCCATCAGCCCTGAACTGAGTCAAGCTGATCCCTTTCCAGCCCCTCAGCCTGTCATCTGGGGCCCCCCAGGGGTGTGCACCCCTGAGGTCCCAGTCCACTGACCTTGGCTCTCAGTCACCCCTCACTAACTTGCTCTCCACCCTAATGAAGGCCACAGGTAAGGGGGCTCCTGCCAGGGACCTAGGGCTGCAGGGTGGGGGGTGAACGTGGGCACTGGGAGCCAGGGGAGAGGTCCGAGTCCTGGCTGGCCTGCTCCCCTGGTTCTGTGCTGCGGGCCAATGGGAGGTGCTCCATGGCTTCGGCAGGTGGCTCAGTCCCCCCGTGACAGAGGCTGGGCTGAGGCAGCACCTGAGTGTGGCCTGGGCCCTGAATCTGTAAAACATGAGCTCTCCTGGAGGGGCAGCATCCGTCTGTCTCCTCAAATCTCACAACACCCTGACTCAGCCAAGGTTAAGAAGCCCTCAGTGACTGACAGAGTCACCCCCCACCACAAATAAAACAACCACCAGCAGGCTGGACCATCATACTGTTCCACCTTTCGGGAGTCGGGGTGGGGAGGGGGCATGGACTGTCTGTGCTCACATGTCACAGGGAACCCGGAGCTGAGCCATTGGGGCCCATCTGGCCACATGCCCAGGTTCTGTGGATCTTCTCTGAGAGCCCCCAGTTCCCCCTCCAGGAGGCCTTGCAGCCCCTCAGGGCCCTGGATTTGGGGACCATTTGCACTGACCAAGGTCAAAGCTGCAGAAGCCAGACCTGCCCTGTGCTGCCCCACCTATGTCCCCGCAGAGCTGGCCAGACCCTCAGCCGGCTCGGAGCCCTCTTGATCCCCAGGGAGGAGCTGAGCCCCTGTGCTTACGTGACAACAGCCCAACCAGTGAGCTTCCTGTCAAGGGCCACGGCTGAGCTGTGGACACAGGAAGGACCATCACTGGCTGTGGACTGGGGAGGGTCCCGTGGGACTGGGCCAGTAGAGGCCTCTTACAAAGAGTGGCCATAGGACCGTGTTATGTCCACTGTCTCATTCTGGTGTCAGTCCCGGAAGGTGGGGCCAGTCCAGGCTCTGTTCCCCTCTGCATCCTGAAGCTGGCACTCGAGTCCGGCTCTGGTGTGCACTGGCTGCCTGGCGGTGCACATTGGAGAGAGCAGGTGAGGCCTGGGCACCTTGGGCCCTGCCCTGAGTCCTATCAGGTGCTGGGAGCTCAGAGGAGCCACTGTGAGGCCCACCCATGTGCACCATCTTCCCTTCCCTGGGCCTGTGTGTGACCCCATCTCCACCTTCACCCCCTTGAACCTTCTGCCGGCTCCAGACTCCCTTCCAACCCCTCTTCTCACCCGCCAACCGCCCCCAAGCTGGAGCCCTGTGCTGTTCTGTTCAGCAGGTGTGGGCTGGGCCTGGCCAGGAAGCTGGGCTCTCAGGTGGCCTTCCTGGGACCTGACTGGGTGGTGCACATCCAGGGACCTTCGGGCCGACCAGGAGCTGCAGAGACAGGTGTGGCTGGCTCTTGGGTGCTCCATGCCCTGCAGCACCCAGGAGAGTGCTGTGTCATGCCCCTGCTGAGAAGTCCTGGTCTTGAGACATCTGGGAGGCCTCACCAAGGGCCTGGGGTGCAGGGCAAGGGAAGCGCAGGTGCAAGGTCCCAGGTGTGTGGCTAATTTCCTCAGGGTTGGAGGCTGTCTGCTTAGTGTGGCCCAAGTCCCAGAGTCCTGCAGGTGGAGAGCAAGGTCTGTGGCAGTGGAGCTAAGCTGGGGCCTTTGAAGGCTGAGGGGCTGTGTAATTGTGTTTGTGTGATCAACAGACCGAGAGTCAGGGGAGAGGTTGGCAGGCAGAGGTAGGGCTGGCAGGCGCTTTGGGGTCAGAGGTGGATCAAAAGCTTGGCTCTGTCCACCTGGGCTGGGCAGCTCCTTCTGCTCTTCCTCCTGTTACTTCACCCATTATTTTCTCAGGAACCTGGGCCTGGCCTTCAGCCCCTGGGGCAAGCCTAACCTGAAGTTCTCCACTTAGCAGGGGCTGTAAGAACACTGTTTCTGCCTCCACAGGGTGGGGAGGGGGGGTCAGACAGGGCCTGGAGCAGCCTGGGCCATGTCCCGAGAGAGGGACAGGGATCTGGACGTCCATGAAGCTCTCACACACATGGAAGCACTTAACAGCTCGTGCGGGAACAGCCACCACCCAGCCAGGCCTGATCTGACCCCCTGGGGACCTTGGCGTGGACCCATCAGCAGCACTGCCTGCCCCCTCAGCTGTCAGGAGTGACTTGGGGTGGCAGTATCTAAAGGGGCTGGTTGCCATGGCTACCATAGGGCTCTGAGACATCATCTGGTCCCTGCTTCAGCCAGTCGGTGGTGGGAGCCCGAGCTGCAGCCTAGAGTCACGCTTCTTCCTCCAGCCACACAGTGGCCAAGAGCAGGGACTCGCTTCCTGGAGTGCTCAGACCCTGGCCCAGCCCAGCATGGCGGACCACAGGGTGGTGGGTGTGAGCAGGCTCGCAGACCCAGGCAGGTGAGGCAAGCCGGGCGGGCGGACGGACAGGCAGACAGGCGGACACGTAGACATGCTCCCTGCTGCCCTTTGTTCTTACGGCCGAGGCCCTGCCCTCAGCCCACCCTGCCCTCTGCACCCTCACATGCACCTACACGCACACCCGCACCCTCATGCTGAGACCCTCTCCCCAAACGTCCCAAGGAAGGGTCATGGGAGGAGCGACAAGGGACACAGCACGAGGCGGGATGAGCCGCACACTCTGGTCCGGAACATCGCTCACAGGGGCTCTCATATGACATTTCACATGGAGGCGGCATCGAAGACCCCCACTGGCCAGGCCCTCGGCAGAAAGGCTGCCTGCCCCTCTCCTAGGGCTAGGCGACATGTCAAGGCAGTGAGGTTGAAGGGGCATTTTTTTTAGAAGAAAATAAAAAGTAAAACCCTCAAAAAAAAGAGGAAAATGTCCACCTAGAATAGGGAGCAGCCAGTCCAAGATGGATCAGAGGAGCCAAATCCCGTTACTCGGGACTTCACCTGGCCCAGGCCCCTCAGGCACAAGGCACCTTTCCTAGGAGTTGGCACTGGGGTTGGGGGAGTCCAGCAGCCCTTCCCTCCGCTTGTGACGTGTCTGAGACACAAGACCTGGGCATGGCCGGCCGTGGGCTCCACCCCAGGCCCAGGCCCATTCACGAGAGTCACACAAGGACCTCTGAAGCCAGTGGGTCCGGGTCAGGACCCGCACTTTGTCAAGGAGGGTATTCTGGCTCACAGAGGTGGCCACCTTGCCCAGAGCCACCAGCTGCCCAAGGCATCAGCAGACCGAAGGTCTCCAGGGAGGCAGGAGCCGGGCCAGCCTGGCCACACCGTTCATATCCCTGAGGCTCCCAAGTTGGGGAGGCGCTGGGTTTGTGGTGGGAAGGCTGTTCTCCCCTCCTTCTTCCAGGCCCCTCTGGCTGCAGGGACCTCAACACCCACTCTACAGCCCTGAGCCTACATGGCCATCTCCTGGACCCCTGGGTTCCTCCCGGGCTCAGACCCCCCCCCCCCCCCCCCGAAAGGCAGTGCAGGCAGGTCTCTGCTGTGCCCTCAGCCCGAGCAGCAGGACCCGTCAGCACATGGGGATGGGACCGTGAGGCAGGATAGTAAGAAGCTCGGGAGAGTCCTGGACACTGAGGAGCAGTGGTTCACACACTCCAGGCGGCCCTGACAGAGAGCCTGGGTGCCGGTCCCTCTTCAGGGACACGCTTTGAAAAGAAAACTCACCAGAAAGCACCCCTGGCCCCCCTATGCACTCACTCTGATGGGTCAGCACATTGAAGGCCTGAACGG